TACAACAAATCAATTGATTAACATTTGCAGAATTATTATATATATCATGGGAGGGGAAAAGATTATTTGAAAGGTAAGTGCAGAAGTGATTCCTAACAATATCACCTTAGGATCTCGCAAAGACTTAACTTCTGTAAGTGACTTTCAGCAACGCATGTGTTTATCGTTCCTATTGGTCATATACATACCGACATTAAGTTTCAGTGAATTGTGAGGTCAGTTGAACATCTTAGACTTTTTTTGTCTGTTGTATAATTATAGCGTTTTTTTACTTGAGATTGTTTGTGACAGTTACGAATAATGTTTAGCCCACCCTTGCCTAAAAAGCCACGTGAGCTTTTGCAATCAGTTGACATCCGTCGGAGTCTATCGTCCGTCATACGTACGTTGTCATAAATGTTTTGAAAATCTTCTCTGAAACTACAAGACCAAATGTTACCAAACTTTACCTGAATTTTCCTTAGGGGGTCTTGTTTAAAAAGTGTATATTCAGGGATTTGATCAATCATCAAACATGACCGATTTTGCACAAACATAGAACATAGGTTTAAATATGCAGTTGTTTCTTATATCTTAAAAAGTAAAGCAGTTACAGAAAACTGACATGGTTAAATATCGCAACAGGTCAAGTTGTATAATTATCCTATGTAATCTTCAGAAAAATTTGAGTACCAGTATGGATTATTAGCCTCTGAAACATGCAATACGATGCTGTATAGAGTGTACATAAGGCACCCCTAACTAAATAACTTCATTGAATATTAAATATGACACGATTCATAAATAGATTTAAACTCCTTCTTTGTCAATTTAAAACTATTTTCTTTGCGTTCAGTGGAGCTTAAATAAAATATAAACAATAACAAGTGTATTGTGACACTGAAGTATGTAACATGTATACATAACTAACAATGATGTCAAAATATGTAAGTAAATCTATACTGCAACGGTACTACAGTTTATTGCTAGACATCTCTCTCAGAATTATTATTTTCACCAAATGTAAAATATGGTAATGTAACATGTAACCAGTAGGGCGTTTTTATCCTAAACGATCGTTCAAGTAAATACAATGATTCAAGCTGTCTATAAAAATACGATATAACCAAAGATCACTGCAACCAGACAATGAGGGATGTTGCAGTCGGTCCCTCGAGTGCGACAGTCTATCACTATTAGACAGAGTGCGGTGGTACAGTTTGTTTTCCGACTGGGACAATCTGTCACAACCAGACAATGAGGGATGTTGCAGGCGGTTCCTCGAGTGGGACAGTCTATCACTATTAGACAGAGTGCGCTGGTATAGTTTTTCCTCCGAGTGGGACAATCTGTCACTATCAGACAGTAAGGGATGTTGAAGTTGGTCCCTCGAATTCGAGTGGGACAGTCTATCACCATTAGCCAGAGTGTCCTGGTACAGTGTGTTCTCTGTCACTACCAGACAGCGAGGGATGTTGCAGTCTGTCCCTCGAGTGGGACTGTCTCTGACTATCAGAGAATCTTTAAAAAATAATAATGTTCAGTAATATAAGATCTACAAATAAGTCAACATGAACGAGACAGACAATTGATCCCTGATTAGTAAGCAACTATAGGTCACCATATCAGTCAATTCTCTGACATCGAACAAACGAAAATATTTGATACAAAGACTTTAATGTAAAAACACGAGACGTGGCATGATTTCCTTCCTACGAGACATCTATCCACAAGAGACAAAAATACAATGCTTAATACATGTAATATGATTGAAGTTTTCGTGTAACATTATGAATATACTACGAAATAATTAAAACTTCAAAAAAGAAAAAAATGAGATCTCCAGCTATAAACGAAACAAAAACAAGCAATGAATCCCGCATTTTCTATTGCAATCGATTGTGCATAGCTTCAAGAATCTTAAATCAAAATTGCAAGAACAAAATCAACGGTACATATTTTTGTTATTTGGCCGGTTCTAAATAAAAGATAATTTTAATATTTAATTTGGAAAAGTACTTCGAAAATGTGCACAATCAACATCAAAGAATCGAATACTTACTGATATACCAGTAGTTAAATAAGAAAACAGCTACAGGGGCGGATCCAGCCATTTTTAAAAGGGGGTTCAACCCAAGGATAAAAAGGGGGGTTCCAACCATATTTCCCTATTCAAAAGCATTGATCCCACGGACCTCCTGGATATCTACCACTGAGCTAATAATATTTGAGATACATTTATCAGTCAAAGTAAAAATAAGAATTTATATCAAGAAATGAAAATAAAAATATTGAGGAAACATTTGTTGCAATGCAATCATATCATTTAGTTGAAATTATTTTAAAAATCAATCACAGTCTAATGTTGCATGTATACATAAGAATAAAATGTAAGATTTTTTAACTGTATGTTATAAAAAAAATAAAAGTTAAAAAACTTCATTGCATCGTAAATTTGATAAAACATTATACAACATAACAAAATCAATCACACACAGTAATCAGATAGCTTAACAAATGTTTAAATTAAATTTGCTTTTGACATAATAGTCAGTTTTTTTAATTCCATATATGTAAACAAATTGGTTTTTAACTTCGCATTCGCTTACTAAAACCGGCAGAATAGCTAATTTTCAGTGCCGGCAACAAATTTGCCATATTGCTGGCGCCGATAAAATAGCCATTTCTATAAAAATAAACTATTTTGCCGGCTTTAATTAAGATATTTTAATCAGAGCCGTCAAGATAGCATATTTCTATTTGCCGGTACCGGTAAAATAACCACTGCTTAGAAAGAAAAAAAAACGTACATGACCTCATAATTATGAAGACAAAGGTTATTTATTTTCAGCTCTTAGGAGGATATACTTTTTTAAAATCAACCTGGCCCCTCACCCTGAAAATCAAAATGCCGTCCCTTTAGTTATGTTAACTGGGAGGGTCTAATTATAATCCTTTTGTAGAAGAAACAGTCATACTTTAACATTGTAAGTTTCTCCTCACAAATTCTGTTTCCTCTACTACCCAAACTTAAAATGTTACCCTTAGAACTGTTGTATCGTAAAGGGAGAACATATATGCAAAACATATAGTTTTGTGCATATCATGTCAGTGTTAACAACCAAAGGTAATGTATGCTGATGGCATTGTATTTCTCTCAGATTCATCAGAGGGATTGCAAGAGAGGTTAACTATGCTTAATAGTTGCTGTTCTAAATGGTGGTTAAATGTAAATGAGAACAAGACAAAAGTTATGATTTTTAATAAAGCATGGAGACATTTTAATCTCCCTTTTTACCTTGGTGAGAAAGCTATTGGTTGTACATATAATTATAAATATTTGGGCATTACACTTATACCCAGTGGAAAATTTTTGCAATGTATATAAGATGTCTATGAAAGCATGCTTTGAATTACAACTGTATGTCATCTTCAAACCCTAGTGTTTCAACTTTACACCATTTATATGACCATACTGTAAAGCCAATTTTAAGCTATTGATTTGAAGTTTGGGGTATATTCCAGTTAACTCAGCTGCATGTAAAAACAAAATGATCAAGATATTTTAGAAAAGTGTTTTCCAACGATACATCTGAAAAATCAGATATCAAATTTATGAAATATGTACTAGGTGTAAACAAAAAAATCAAGTTATCTTGCTGTGACTTCTGATCTAGGGAGATACCCATTGTATTTTTATATTATATTAGAAATGTTAAAATATTACCATCGACTAGATAATTCTGAAAACATGTTATTATATGATGTATATATATGTAGGAAAGAACTTCACAATAATAAAGGGAATACATTGTTCTCAAGCATAGATTGTATTTTTAAATAGCTAGGCATACCCACATGTAACTTAAAAACCAGTATATACTATTTCACAAAATGTATCAAAGATAAGCTATATAAATACTATCTCCATTACTGGAAGGAAAATATAAATAAAGTATTTCAATCAGATCAAGGCAAACTTAATACTTATTTCTCCTTTAAAACTCTATTTTGTTCTGAAAAAAATATTTAGATCTAAAAGATTTTAGATTAAGGTAATCAATCTGTAAGATTAGAATAAGCGCTCATCCTTTACGGATTGAGACTGATATATATGCAAAGGTTATATTAATAGAACACTTAGAAAATGTTTTTACTGTTCTTTAAATAAAGTTGAGGATGAAAAAAGTAAAATAACAAAATACCGAACTCCGAGGAAAATTCTAAACGGAAAGTCCCTAAGCAAATGGCAAAATCAAAAGCTCAAACACATCAAAAGAATGGATAACAACTGTCATATTCCTGACTTGGTACAGGCATTTTCTTATGTAGAAAATGGTGGATTAAACCTGGCTTTATAGCTAGCTAAACCTCTCACTTGTATGAAAGTCGCATAAATTTCCATGATATTGACAACGATGTGTGAACAAAACCAACATACATAATAGGTAAAAATGTCAAAAATAGGGGTACAGCAGTCAACATTGTGTTATAATCTTTATCACTACAAAAACAAGCAAATATGTCAACAAAGACAAACAAAAAGGCCTAATGAGATACACTTTGTGACTGAATGCCCACTATATGCTGATAATAGAATTGAGTCTTTTTACTGAAATTTCATTAACCTGCAATAATTTTTCAATCTTTAGACAATCTTTCGAAGTTTACATGGCTATTTACACAAGAAAATTAAGATGTATATAAATGTTTGGGAAAGTATTTATCTAAAAATCTGGAGATAAGGAGAAGTTCAAAGATAATACATGCAAATTAGCCACACGTATACTTTTTTGAGTGTTATATTTTATAGATGTTATTTGTATTATCTGGTTCTATATTGGCCTTATACATGTTATACGAGAGTTATTGTTAAACTGTGTTGTTTTCTTTTATGTTTCTTAATTTGTGTCTAATCATATGTATGTGTATGTAATGTGATAAAAGCTCTTTATAGGGCCCTTTAATTGGAAAATAAAATATTCTTTTATACTTATTCTTATTCTATATTAATTTTGCAGTTATCTTCCCCTTCATACATGTCATAGGCCACATGACAGATCCTAACAGGAAAGCTGAAGTTCGCCAAGCTCATCAGCTGTTAGTCGTTACATAGTTTATAGAGGGTACACCGGTGTCAAAAAGATTTACAGAAGTTAAACAATACTTTCAATACGAATGAAACAGAGAACAAGGTTTATTTACAAAAAAAGTAAGTCTACTATCGATTACCTATTTGTTTAAATATACAGATTCATAAATAGATTTACCTTGAACTTCTTCTTTGTCAATTTAAAAACTATTGTCTATGTGTTCAATGGAGTTTGAAATAAAATATACACGATTACAAGTGTATTTGAAACTGAAGAATATAACACATGAAGTGTATCAGAGATGTCAAAGTATGTTAGTAAATCTATACTGTAATGGTAATGTAGTGTATTGCTAGACATCTTTCCCAGATTTATTATTTTCACACGATGTAAAATTTGATTTTTACCAATGTAAAAATTAAAATTATTTATTTTTACCTTGGTAATTTTCATTTCAACACTGAGGAGCAAAAATCCTCCCAAGAACTGCAAGTTTAAAAGAATCAAATTGAATAGGATTATTGTTGCAATATTCAAAATAAAACCAACTCCTGATTTATGCTAAAACAATAAATGAAAAACAAATGTGACAGATAGCTACCAACAACAAGCACCGAATTACAGGATCATGACTTTGGACAGGCACATTAATAATGGCATGTGGTTAAACAATACAAGAATGCCAAACTCTCTCAATAACCTTGGACTTTGGTGTAACTGCAGAACATAAACACACATTGCAAGAATAAGTTTGAAAGGGCTTGACTCACCAGATAGCCAAGTCAGTTACCTCAATGTTTAAATGTTATTTTTTTTAGACTTATAATATGTTGAGGGGCGATCTTTTAAAGTTACTGTTCGGGAAAATATACAGATTGGAATATTGTAAAGTTACTGGCTTTTGTTTATTGAATGATTCTTGTTAACTAAATGTCCATCGGAAACAGATTCAGGACAAGAAACATACATAATTGCTATAGTTGGTAGGTTCTGTGAGATAGGACAAAGAATCAACAGTCTTCACGATAAACTTTTAAATCTACAAGCCAAGAAATTATTTTTTGGAAAATTTTTAGTTAGATTCTGTTGGCCTGTAGAGATGATTTTTACAGGCCTGAAAGAAATTTCACAAGCCTGGGCTGCTGTGCACGTGGTTAAGTGTGAAGAATGAGAGTGTGAGTACTAGAGGCAGTATGTCACCGTTTTAATATTTATTGGTTATTTGTGTTGTTGGATTGCTCTCTTATTGACATATATCTAACATATCCTTTTATTTGTCCATTGCAGTAATGAATTAAATTAACACTAAGTGTAATAAATATATGTGTATACCATCTCAGTGATTAGTAAGTAAAATAAACATTGCACATCATATATATAGATATAGGAAGATGTGGAATGAGTGCCAATGAGACAACTCTCCATCCAAGTAACAATTTATAAAAGTAAAGCATTATAGGTCAAGGTACGGCCTTCAACACGGAGCCTTGGCTCACACCGAACAGCAAGCTATAAAGGGCCCTAAAAATTACTAGTGTAAAATCATTCAAACGGGAAAACCAGCGGTCTAATCTATATAAAAACGAGAAACGCGTATGAACTACATAAACAGACGACAACTACTGTACATCAGATTCCTGACTTTGGACAGGTGCAAACATTTGCAGCGGGATTAAACGTTTTAATGGTACCAAACCTTCTCCCTTTTTTGAAAAAATAGTATAACATCACAACATAGAAAGATATGCCTTCTTTTCCATTAGTTGATAGAAATAAACCGTACAAATAATAAACTTTAAAATTACATTTGATTTTTTGAAGCAAACATATCTCAATCTGTTTGAAGTTTTTTTTTTTGTTACCTGGTAATTACAGGTGGCAAACATTTCAGGAAAATTTGTAATCTGGTAATAACAGGTGGCAAACATTTCAGGCAAATTTGTAATCTTGTAATTAGGTGGGGAAAATATTTCAAACATATTCAGGACAAGCAAACATTTAGCAACAAATCAAGTGTTAAACATCTGCAGAATAATTATATTTATAAAAGGGGGAAAAAGAGGACACGTTAGGTAAGTGAAGAAATGATGTCTAACAATATCACCGTAGGATTTCTCAAAGACTTAACTACTGTAAGGATTATTTGATTTGCAGAAACGCATGTGTATTATCGTTCATATTGATCCTAAACAATCTTTAAGTTTCAATGAATAATGATGTCCGTTGAACATCTAGGACTTTTTTCTTTTGCTATTTGAGATTGTTTGTTACAGTTATAATTAATGTTTAGCTTACCTAGCCTGAAATGCAATGTTAGTTTTGGCCATCGCTTGCCATATGTCGTTGTCTGTCGTCATACTTTTTTTTTAAATCTTCTCCTCTGGAACAATAAGGTCAACTGTTACCTAACTTTACCTCTATAAATGTTCCTTAGAGAATCTAGGTCAAAATTGTATCCAAGGATTTGATCCATCATCATCCATGACAAACGTTGCTAATAAAGATCATAGGGGTTAAATATAGTTTTTTGTTTTTATCTAAAAAATTAAAGCAGTTACAGCAAAACTGACTAGGATAAAAATGAGTAACAGGTCAAGTTCTATATCCTATGTAATCTTCAGAAAAATCGGAGTACAAATCTTGAAGTACTTACCCCTGAAATGTCATTTTTTTAGCTAAATTCAAAGTTGTTGGAGATTATCTTGAAAACAGTAACAGATAAAGAGAAATTTTAAACTGTAAAAATTATCAAAACAATAAAATCTATAAATAATTCAACAAAAGCTATAATCAGAAATTGTCAATTGAACCCTTATAGGAGTTATAGCCTTTGCATGATGATTTTTACATGTTATTTTGCATTGTTAGAGTAAACTATAGTAGATACAGAGAATCTTTAAATAGTAATGATGTTCAGCAAGATAGGATCTACAAATAAGTCAATTGAACGAAATAGACAATTGACCCCTTATAAAAATTATAGCCTTTAAAAGACAGGCTGTACCCATTCTTAAATTTATCGAAGAAGCTATCATAGATAGAGAGTAATTGTTAAATACAAAGGGGTTCCGTAAATTAAAATATACAAATCAGTCAACAATTGTCAATTGACCCCTTAAAGGAGTTTTTGTCCTTGAAAATTATTTAACCTATCTTTGATTTTTAGCTTACCTAGCCCGAAGGGTCAAGTGAGCTTTTCTCATCACTTGGCGTCCATCGTCGTCCGTCGTCGTCGTAGTTAACTTTTTACATTTTGAACTTCTTCTAGAGAACCACTGAATGGAATAAAACCAAACATGGCATGCATGTTCCTTATGAGGTGCTGACCAAGTGTTGTTACTTTGAAGCCGATCCCTTATCCAAGATGGCCTCCAATGGAGGACATAGTATAACATAGGACTCTATGGGAAATATTTACAAATGTCTTCTTTTAGAGAACCACTGCATGGAATGAAAGCAAACATGGCATGAATGTTCCTTATGAAGTGCTGACCAAGTGTTGTTACTTTGAAGCCGATCCATAATCCAAGATGACCGCCAGTGGAAGACTTAGTTTAACATAGGACCCTATGGGAAATACATACAAATGTCTTCTTTAAGAGAACAACTGAATGGAATGAAACCAAACATAGCATGCATGTTCCTTTCCAGGTACTGACCAAGTGTTGTTACTTTGAGCCGATCCATAATCCTAGATGGCCGCCAGCCGGGGACTTAGTTTAACATAGGACCCTATGGGAAATACATTCAAATGTCTTCTTTTAGAGAACCACTGAATGGAATGAAACCAAACATGGCATGAATATTCCTTTCGAGATGCTGACCAAGTGTTGTTACTTTGAAACCGATCCATCATCCAAGATGGCCGCCAGCGGGGGACTTAGTTTAACATAGGACCCTATGGGAAATACATTCAAATGTCTTCTTTTAGAGAACCACTGAATGGAATGAAAACCAAAATGGCATGAATGTTCCTTATGAGGTGCTGACCAAGTGTTGTTACTTTGAAGCCGATCTATAATCCAAGATGGCCGCCAGTGGAGGACTTAGTTTAACATAAGACCCTATGGGAAATACATACAAATGTCTTCTTTTAGAGAACTACTTAATGGAATGAAACCAAACATGGCATGCATGTTCCTTTCGAGGTACTGACCAAGTGTTGTTACTTTGAAGCCGATCCATCCTAGATGGCCGCCAGCGGGGGTCTTAGTTTAACATAGGAACTTAAGAGAAAAACATACAAATGTCTTCTTTTAGAGAACCACTGAATGGCATGAAACTAAACATTGCATTAATGTTCCTTATGAAGTGCTGACCACGTGTTGTTACTTTGAAGCCGATCCAGCATCCAAGATGGCCGCCAGCATGGGACAATGTTTAACAACACCCCATGGACAATACATACAAATGTCTTCTTTTAGAGAACCACGTACTGAATACATTGAAACCAAACATGGCATGAATGTTCCTTATGAGGTGCTGACTAAGTGTTGTTACTTTGAAGCTGATCCTTCATCCACGATGGACGCCAGCGGGGAGACTTCCTTTAACATAAGACCTTATGGGAAATACATGCAAATGCTTCTTCTATAGGTGCACTGAATGGAATGAAACCAAACATGTCATAAATGTTTCTTATGAGGTGCTGATGAAGTGTTGCTACTTTGTTGCCGATTTACTGTTCAAGATGGCCACCAGGATTTTTTATTAAATTACAGGACCAATATTAAACCAAATTTGGCCTCACTCATTATTAGGGTATCTGTTATGATTATTTTTAATCTATTTTTACATGATTTCCAAAACCAAAGTAGAATCAGGTGAGCGACACAGGCTCTTGAGAGCCTCTATTTTTGCAGAAACTATAAAAGATAGAAAGGAACAGTAAATAGCAAAACTGTTCAGCACAGTAAGATCTCCAAATGACCGAAATTGTCAACCGACTGCTTATATTTCCCCTAAGTAATAATTTACCCATTTTGTGGCAGTTTTGTCAACAAATATTGTGGATAGAGAGAAGCATTAAAACGCAAAAAGATCAGCATACAAGATCTACAAGTTAGTCAATATGGCCAAATTGTCAGACTCCTTATAGGATGTATTGCTCTTAGGCAATATTTTTACTAATTTCTAATTTTGCCAATGATTTCAAAAAGTTTAATAATAATTATAGGTAAACAATTATTGTAAACAGTAAAAAAGGATCATCAATACAAGATCTACTAAAATGCCCCAAAATAAGATTTACAAATAAGCAAACATACCTGATTGCAGTAAAAGTAAAATAAATGTAAAAAAAAACATACTTTTACCAGTCGAGCGATACAGGCTCTGTGCAGCCTCTTGTTACATTGTTGTATCAAGTAGCATTGTGAAATGTTGGACTATGAATAAATCATCAAAAAGGTTTCCTGAATTATGTGTTCCTAATTCAGTGGTCATAATCTATAACGAAATAAATGTTAAACTATTGTTACAGAATAAATATTCTCTTCTATATATATATATATACCCCTCTAACAAGAATTTGTTTTGCATGCACACGTATAAAAATTGCGGCTTTTATCCAACGCAATCATAGGTTTGAACGTTGTTTTCAATTTAGACTTGTTTATATTTTTTCGTTTGGGCTTGAATTATATTTGCCTTCGGGTTTATATGATCAGTTCATCCTATTTTGACTCCTCAAAATTCAAGAGTCTATCCTAAATCGAGGTAAATTGTATGGCTTTCCAAATACCGTTTCGATTCCTAACATCACTGAAGAGACATTAATTGTCGAAATCGGGATATGGTGTACAAAGACCTTTGCACCTTTTGTTTGCGGTATATCATCTTTTCCGCAAGTTTATTGTTTTCTGTTTAGTATTAAATTTTTAATTAAGATCCATTTATTACATCGGTGATCCGTTTATTTGGCAATCGCCAATGGCAGTCAGCAGGGTTTAAGAACATTTGTTGTTCGACCTGTTAGTCAAATGCGTTTTGTTAAAATATACTTTTTCACTTTTTTGGTCTTTTGGAAAATGTTGTTTGTGCTGTTTTTAGACCCCTCTAACAAGAATTTGTTTTGCATGCACACGTATAAAAATTGCGGTTTTTATCCAACGCAATCATAGGTTTGAATGTTGTTTTCAATTTAGACTTGTATAATATGTGAACTATACGTTTTTTTTTCAAATGGGAAATTAAAACTTTTTTAGTATTTTCATGATTGTTATGTGTTATAAATATATCACAATGATATTATCATCAAAACATCGATCATCATTTGTTCATTGACCAATTGTTAAATGCCAGTGTTATGTAAAAAGGTAATAATGTAAAAGGGTGTGTAGGAATTGCGAATTGCAGCAATAAAAACCAAGACCTAAAAAATAAGATAAAAGATAAAATTGAGCAAACAAAATAAGGAATAGACATTAATGGGGTTCAAAAGTATAAAGACAAATTGTTGAAGATAAAAGAATTAGGTAATATAATACTGATAACAGTAATGAACGATGTACAGAAAAAAGATATCAGCAAACTACGAAAAATGTAATAGTAAATAGGTTTCATAAGAATTTTGCAGAATAAGCATAATTTTAAATAAAAATAAAAATGCATAAAAATTTTTAAGAAAACAGAATAATTAATTAAAACTAAATTTACCAAATTCTTTCATGGATACAAAAAACTGGTCTGGAAATTTGTCTGTAGAGTTCTAATCAAAAACGGGATATTGCATCATAATTTTTACAGTGATGTTGTTTATAAAGCCAGTAAACTTGGTACGATCCATGATGTCGGACAGTACACTAATTGATCTTTTGAATAAACATATTCTTAAAGGTTATCAATTTAATCCAGTAGTAATACTTTAAATATTATTTTTATTGCTACTAACATTGATTTTGTTTTTGAAAATTTAAGCATAGCTTAATGTATTGACTGTTAATGACGTCTTAACACTAAATCCAAAGATGTGTACTGATTGATACTTTAGTCTGGGAGAACATGATTTATTTATAAGTTGTAGTTGGCTTTTAACTAGCTTTCAGTAACTGTGAGTACTCTTATTTCAGCGCATGAAGTCAACCATCCTCATTAAAGTGGCAACACGAATGACACGAAAAAAATAGAAAGTAACTCTCTTTATGAAAAAGTCAACTAAATCAATGGTAAATCGTGTAAAGATTTTTACTATTTTTACTATTTTTTTTTACCACTCTAAGAATAAGTCATCTCGATTTTTGTTCATGTATTTGCAGTCCTCTAGGGGTATTGACATTTCATAAGACTTAGTACATGTAAGAAGATGTGGTATGAGTGCAAATGAGACAACTCTCCATCCAAGTAACAGTGTATAATAAGTTACCAATTATAGGTCAAAGTACGGCCTTCAACACGGAGCCTTGGCTCACACCGAACAACAAGCTATAAAGGGCCCCAAAATGACTAGTGTAAAACAATTCAAACAGGAAAACCAACGGTCTAATCTATATAAAAAACTAGAAACGAGAAACACCTTAGAACCACACCAACAAACGACAACCACTGAACAACAGGCTCCTGACTTAGGACAGGTGCATAAAAATGCAGCGGGTTCAAATATTTTAACAGGCGCCAATCTTCACCCTAACATGAGACAGTAGTGTAACATTACAACATAAATACACACACTATAAAATATCAATTGAAACGGCATTTAAACAAAAACAAGTAAACATACACTGAACGAATAAGTTTGATCTATGACACAATATAAATACAATATTAAAACGTAGGTGCCTATATAACATAGACGTTACAGGTAGTACTACAAAAGATGTTGGAAGAGTGTCAATAAGACAACTCTTACCTGGGACAAAATAGCACAGGTAAATTCACTGTGTCTAAACTACCCAGGCAAAAAATGTTTGGACTCGATGGTATCTAATATCCGGCACGGTGACGGAACATCAATAGACAGAGAAAAGGTAGTTTTCTGTTAATTTATTTGTTATTGTTATGATATCAAAGAATATTTATATATATATAACTATTTTCTATTGTGAGATGTAATATTTTCTACAACCGTTCTAGATTAACGGAGAAATAAGTAAAAATGCACGTCAAAATGACGAATTGAGTTAACCTTGCCTCGAATTTGTTTAATTTCTCCTTAAATTGTTCACATGGTACGGAAAGAAAGGTATGGAAAGAAAGATATTGACATGGAAATTGCAAAACTAGTCACTTTGAGCACCTCAATCCTTGTATTTCTGCGTATGGAACAAAAGAAATAGGTCATGTCAAAATGGAAGCACCCGGTTTTGTCAATGTTGTTAACTACACAATGACCCGGTTTTGTCTATGTATAGAACCCGGTTTTGTTTATTATATGAAAAGCAACGTTAACACTGGTACCCTGAAACAAAAAATAAATTTACAAATGGCTGATCATCATTGTCGGTTTTCAAACCAGATACTTCAATAAAGCGTGTGGCAAAGTTTGATTAAATTGTTAAAGAGGAGTAGATTTTTGTAAGATAATTGGCAAAAACGCAAAGAAATGGTAAAAATCGTAATTAAAGGTCAATAATTCTTACAAGGATATCGACCAAGTCGACTTATTCGTATATATTGTCTTGCTGATCATTTTTGCTATATAACTTTTATATATTTCGAGATAATAGACAAACATGGAAAAAAAGGAGAAATTTGTCATTCAAGGACATTAACTTCTATAAGAATTCGTGTGAGAGTTTTGATGTGTATGGACAAAAGGTAGAGCTCAACATTATGAAAATATCTGCCCCTGTTAAATTTTCTCTATCTATAGCTGTTTTCAAATAATAGACAAAACTTGCATCCCCCTATGTTCTTTTTTAAGCCATGTCGGCCATCTTTGTTGACAAGCGGGTCATCAAAAACTTTTTAAACTAGACACCCCAATGATGATGAAAAACAGTTAAACATAAGTTCGTTAGAACTTTAAAACCCGACATAAGATTGTGGATAAGGTTTGTTAAATATATTGTAGCCCAGTGATTTCAGAGGAGAAGATTATGTAAAAAATTAACGGACGACGACGGACGACGGGGGCCAAGTGATGAAAAAAGCTCACTTTTCCATTGAGGTCAGGTGAGCTAAAACCAACCAAGAATTCCAAACAAGATTGCACCGTTCTTGAATTAAAAAAAGTCCAACAATTCATAATTAAGGCTTACACGAACGAGATAAACTAATCAGACATGGCAAAACAACTTCAATTGCGTTTTTTTTTTACAAAAATAAATACTACGTATTATTTATACAAGAGTGACTGTACGCACTGACATGTCACGACAGCTGGAATGATCGTTATCGAATTTATTTTGAAGGTCTGTAAGATAAATAATTTAATAAATGTATCTCATAAAATTAACATTGTTCATGGAACCATAAAAAAAGTCAAGGTCCGATGAAACCTGCTAGACGGACATGAACACATTACAATCATTAAAACCAACCAACAAAAAAACTGAGGAATTACCAATTAATCAAGAAAATAAGTTCAACGTCACTTAAATAGTCATATGCGCCATACGAGCAAATATAGTTGACCTATTACTTATGGTATTAAGAGATACGGACTTGAACACGAAATGTTAACCTTGATCATAGATATCAACCATTATCAGGTATTCATTTGGTTAGGAATTCGCTGAACCATAAAAATGAGGTCAAGGGCAATGGACATATGACAGATAGAAGCATAGTTACATAAAATATCTGTGTGCGAGGTATGTTGCAGTCAGGCCTTCTAACTTCTGACATATGAAGCTTCATACAAATAGTTCAAGCCGCCACGAATTTGCAACCCTTGGTCTCGCATTCCGACAACTCCAAAATATCAATGAGAATTTTTAGAATAAACATGATAATCCTACTCACATACATCCAATTTCGCGGGTGTCCCTGCTTTCTTATTTCTTATAAAATTTTAAGTTGGTATACGATTTAGTTATATAACATCAGTGGCGAATCCAGGCGTCGTATAGGTCACACGCCCCCACCCCCACTTTTGATGGCCCTAAAAAATATTAAATCTTTTTTAAACGATTTGTTTTAGCTTAATTCGTCCAAAACATTGTTCGCTTCGCTACGCTCTGCGGTATATAAGCTGTTTGAATTACGCCCACTTTGAAAAAACCTGAATCCGTCCCTATATATTGTCAATAATATATTGACCAACGTCAATGTACGATAATCGTACCACAATGGAGAGATAACAGAACCGTTTATTTATACAACTATTAATAAAATAATCATTATTGCATTTTCTCGATGGCCTGAGACTATTATACTAATTTATACTTATTATTATAGTTACAATTAGGGATAGATGGATTTGATTTTTAATGCATGATTATTGTAATCATTTTCTCACCATAAACATTCAGTTTCTATGGCGATTCTGCAAGCATATATACATTTGTCTGATTATCATGCCATATAATGAACATTTAGCCTTAAGAAGATTTATTTTAAACGATCATAGGAAATATTACATCCCTAGGTAGATTGGATTACTTATAAAGATAACCATCCTGTTGTTCAAAAAAATCACATATCAATTCTTCAATTTTTAAGACCATAAACTCTAATTTTAAGTTTAAACACTAAAATTTACATAATTCATCTAAAAAAAACGTATAGAGAGCTTAAACCTCAATTTGCGGTTTAACCTTCATTTCTATCTATTTCGCAGTTAGAGTATTTTTTTTTTTAAATGCAAAGCAAAATTATAATTATTTTTGTTGCAATCAAGTAGGAATTCCTAAATAGGAAAGTTGTCCTCTGTAAGAAATCGTTTTCCAACCAGTCACCAAACTCCTTTTAATTGCTGAAGTTCAATTATGTTACGCGATTATGCCTTTTTTTTCTTTGACAAAACCGGGTTCTGCCTTGTGAAATCTAGGACAAAACCGGGTTGTACACATTGATAAAACCGGGTGCTTCCTTTTTGACATGACCCATTTCTTTCGTTCCATACGCAGAAATACAAGTATTGAGGTGCTCAAAGTTACTAGTTATGCAATCTCCATGTCAATAACTTTCTTTCCATACCTTTCTTTCCGTACCATGTGAACAATTTAATGAGAAATTAAACAAATTCGAGACAAGGTTCACTCAATTCGTCATTTTGACATGCATTTTTACTTATTTCTCCGTTAATCTAGAACGGTTGTAGAAAATATTACATCTCACAATAGAAAATAGTTATATATGTATAAATATTCTTCGATATCATTACAATAACAAATAAATAAACAGAAAACTACCTTTTCTCTATCTATTGATGTTCCGTCACCGTGCCGGATATTAGATACAATCGAGTCCAAACATTTTTTTGCCGGGGTAGTTAAGACACAGTGAAATTTAAATATATTTATTTTGTTGTTAGGAAGTAAACATTTTTTTCAAAAATTAATATATTTGTTGTTCTAAGTACGAGTACAGAAATGAAAATTTATCGTCATAGTTAATACTTATCAAAGATGGTACATATTAAAAATAGTGAGACGTGATATAACACAAAATAAGTAAACATTGAATTACAGAAATGCATTACAAATTGTGTCAACAGGTCAAATTAACACGAAAGTACGATTTGAGAGTACTCGCAATTACTGAAAGCTAGTTAAAAGCCAAAAACAATTAACAATAAAAAATCATGCATCAGAGACTAATTCCATGTTTACATTGGGATATGGTCCGTTTGATTTTGGTTAGTAACATAATTTCAAAAATGTTCCAGAGAAATGTACAACAAGTAAAATAATAAAAGGAAGTTGGTACTCTAGGAATTTAGTTGCATAGCAACATTCTAAACTAATTTTTTTACAGTAGCTCCTATACCCTACTGCATGTACCCCTTATTCATGCCCTTTGCTATTTTAGGAGGGACATGATAACATTATAGGGAAATTTTGTTTTTATTTCAATTCATGCTTTTTGTTTCTATTTACCAGAACGTTTTCTTGTGAATCTATAATTAATAGCGTCCTTGTTATATTTTCCACTGGACATGTTGGTCCTTGTTAAAACAGGATCAACATTTCCAGTGGAAAATATCCAATGCTTATTCAGAACAAGAACAAATTAACAATCAAATCATAATTAGTAGGTTCTACAAGAGAAGTATACCAGGATGAATGCTGGAGGCAGTTTGCAGCCAACTCGACGTCTTTTTTTTTTTTATTTGTGTTGTTCGGTTGCCGTCTCATATACCTAACATCTCTTGTTTGTCCCCCGCGCAACGCCTTGCGGGGGACATAGAAATACCGGGTGTCCGTCCTTCCGTCCGTTTATGAAACTTGTATCATAGGTTTATATCAGCAATGTCTTGGACGTATGGCGTATCAAATTATAAGCCTGGTACCTTTGATAACTATTTACACCACTGGGTCGAAAACACTGCTGGTGGACGTTTCGTCCCCGAGGGTATCACCAGCCCAGTAGTCAACACTTCGGTGTTGACATGAATATCAATTATATGGTCATATTTATAAATTTCCTGTTTGCAAAAGTTTGAATTATTCGAAATACTGAGGATTTTCTTATCCCAGGCATAGATTACCTGAGCCGTATTTGGCACAACTTTTTGGAATTTTAGGTCCTCAAAGCTCTTCATCTTCGTACTTGCTTGGTTTTATAACTATTTTGATCTGAACGTCACTGGTGAGTCTTATGTAGACGAAACGCGCGTCTGGCGTATCAAATTATAAGTCTGGTTCATTTGATAACTATTGGACAAGTTCGAAAATCAGTGCTGATCATTTTTTTTTTAAAAGAGTTACGCCCCTTGGAAACATCTATAAGTTGGAAAATTGCATCGTTAGCGCTCTCATGTGTACAATTCCAGCCAGAATTTTATGAAACTTTAATCGTAGATTTATATTATCTATGTCTTTAACGAGTTTGAAAGTCAGTGCAGATCAATTAGTTTTAAAACAGTTATGCCCTGTGAAACATCGATTATATAAAAAAAAAAAAATGAATTGTAAGTGCTCTCGCATGTACAAATTTTGCCAGATTTTCATCAAATTCATATCAAATTCATATCAAAGGTATATAACAGCAATATTATATACATAAGGGCTTTTATTATATTTGCCTTCAGGTTTATATGATCCGTTCATCCTATTTCGACTCTTCAAAATTCAAGAGTCTATCCTAAATTGAGGTAAATTATACGGCCTTCCAAATACCGTTTCAATTCCTAACATCACTGAAGAGACATTAATTGTCGAAATCCGGATATGGTGTACTAATTTTTGCACCTTTTGTTTGCGGTATACCATCTTTTCCGCAAGTTTATTGTTTTCTGTTTGGTATCAAATTAATAAATAAGTTCCATTTTGTTACATCTTGTGATCCGTTTATTTGGCAATCGCCAATGGCGGTCAGCAGGGTTTAAGAACATCTGTTGTTCGACCTGCTAGTCAACTGCGTTTTGTTAAAATATATTTTTTCACTTTTTTGGTCTTTTGGAAAATGTTGTTTGTGCTGTATTTAGACCCCTCTACCAAGAAATTTGTTTATATTTTTTCGTCTGTGCTTGTATTATATTTGCCTTCGGGTTTATATAATCCGTTCATCCTATTTCGACTCTTCAAAATTCAAGATTCTATCCTAAATTGAGGTAAATTATATGGCCTTCCATATACCGTTTTGATTCCTAACATCACTGAAAAGACATTAATTGTCGAAATCTGGATATGGTGTACAAATTTCTGCTCCTCATGTTTGCGGTATACCATCTTTTTGATCCGTTTATTTGGCAATCGCCAATGGCAGTCATCAGGGTTTAAGAACATCCGTTGTTCGACCTGTTAGTCAAATGCGTTTTGTTTAAATATACTTTTTCACTTTGTTGGTCTTTTGGAAAATGTTGTTTGTGCTGTATTTAGACCCATCTACCAAGACATTTGTTTTGCATGCACACGTATAAAAATTGCGGTTTTTTATCCAACGCAATCATAAGTTTGAACGTTGTTTTCAATTAAGACTTTTATATATAACTTGTGGTCCGTTTATTTGGCAATCGCCAATGGCAGTCAGCAGGGTTTAAGAACATCTGTTGTTCGACCTGTTAGTCAAATGCGTTTTGTTAAAATATACTTTTTCATTTTTTTGGTCTTTTGGAAAATGTTGTTTGTGCTGTATTTAGACCCCTCTAACAAGAAATTTGTTTTGCATGCACACGTATAAAAATTGCGGTTTCATCCAACGCAATCATAGGTTTGAACGTTGTTTTCAATTTAGACTTGAATATATATATATATATATATATATATATATATATAGAAAAACATGTGCAATGATGAAATGACGAGTTTGCTATGTGTGTTATAGATGAATAAAATTATTTTTTGGTTGGACGAATCAGTCATCGAAATGGTTTTTTCCTCGTGGCTCCCTTGTTTCGCTTATCAATGTTGTCGGTTTTTTTTTAATTATTAAAAACTAAACACGGTTAGTGCAAGATCGCACAATGTACATGAATAAACTGGTGTCAAATTTAAGGTTGCATAAATACGGACTCAAATGAGTTGAATTATTGGCTTGCAAGCCAATGATAAATTTGCAATGTTTTTGAGCTTATTTTGACAAAATTGAACGAAACTGACAGCTACTTTCAATATTCTGCATTAAAAGAATAGAGAATTGGAAGTTGTCACAGAACAACCCAGAGAGCAGAAAACAACCCAAGGCCAATAGATCCTCAAAGCAGCGAGAAAATCCTGCATCCGGAGACGGGCGTCTTGTTCGAAACAAAATTAAAATTATATTTTATCGTTTAATGTAAATCGTAGCTGATGTGTCTTTAGAACTAAACAATAGGTTGGAAAAAAAAAAGAAAAAAAACCAAGATATTATGTGTACTGATTATTAGTTTAGTCTGATTAGTCTGAAAGAAAATGATTTATTAATTAGTTGTAATTTGAACTACATGTAGTATAGCTTTCAATAACTTGGAGTACTCTTATTTTGGTGTTTTGTTGATTTGTTTTTATGATTGTTGTTTATGTGCCTCGTACCGATGTTTTAAGCCAATTGCTACTGATGTTTATAGTTTGTTCTCACTTTGTTTGATGTGCTGTAACACAACTGTCCCAGGTAAAGGGGAGGTCCGAACTCTCACAAACATGTTTAACCGTTCACATGTCCCAAGTCAGGACTCTAGTTCAGTGGTTGTCGTTAATTCATGTCTGACATATTTGTTTTTCGTAAGTTGTTTTGTTATGAATTAGGCCGTTGGTTTTCTTTTCTGAATTATTTCACATTTTTCATGGCAGGTCCTTTTATAACCGACTTTACGGTATGGGTTTTTCTCATTGTTGAAGAACGTACGGTTGCCTATAAAAGCGTACATCCACTTTTTTTCAAAATCTGGAGGATAGTTGTCTCATTTCTAATCATACCACATTTCGTTATTTTTTATTGCTGTCTAATAGACATATGGCCGATCTTTCTTTCAATCCATTCCGTTGTTGAGTTGCTGTCTTACCAACATCTGCCCATCTCTTTTTCAATCAACCCCGTTGTTTGGTTGCTGTCTAATTGACTATGCCTATACTCTCTATCAATCCTCTTCGTTGTTGGCCGCTGTCTAATTGACATATACCCATGCCCTTTTTAATCCATTCATTGTTGGATCGATGTCTAATTGACATGCGTCCATTATCTCTTTCAACCAATTCTGTTGTTGGGTTGCTATCTAACAGACATGTGACCATACTATCTTTCAATACATTTCGTTGTTGGCTTGTTGTCTAATTGGCATATCCCAATATTCTCTTTTTCAATCCAATCGTTGTTGGGTTGGTGTCTCATTAACATATGTCAATTACCTCTTTCTCTGCAATCCATTTTTTGGTTTCTGTCTAACTCAAATATTGCCATACACTTTTTCAATCCATTCCGTCTTTGGTTTGCTATCTAACTGACATATGTCAATACTCTCGTTTAATACATTTCGTTGTTGGCTTGTTGTCTAGTTGACATATTCCATGTGGCAATATTCTCTTTTTTAATCCAATCGTTGTTGGGTTGTTGTCTAATTTACATATGTTCATACTCTTTATCAATTCATAATGTTGTTGGGTTGCTGTCTAATTGACATACGAGCATACTCTTTAAATCCATCCCGTTGTTGGGTTGCTTTCTAACTGACATATGCCCATACTATCTTTCAACCCATTTGATCAATTACATATATACAAAAAATACGTTTTTGAACATGGAACCAGAAAAAATATTTTCCAAGATTAAACATATCGAACGGGAATTCTATAGTTCAAGGAGAAAATCGTTGCAAAAGTTGGGCGTCCGTTTGGTGGTTTTGGGATGTACACAGACCAGACATACCGGACCGCAAACCAACAAGAATATTGTATACCAAAACTTCAATTTAAAATTAAGGAGATGTGGCATGATTTCCAACGAGACAGCTATCCACGAGAAACCAAAGTACCATATTTATTATCAATAAAGTATGCAATGCTTTGAATTATGTTAATTTGAAAAAGAAAACGAAAATAATATATATTTAAGCTCGCGAATTCTAATGAAGGGGCATTAACAGTCAAATAAGGCTGACTGTTTACGTATTTTTCTATTATCAGTAAGTTAAACATTATGAGAGTTGTTGGTTTGAAATTTTGTAGTACAACGAGAACAGCTGTTCCACGATCGTGTTGCATTCACAACATACTACAAGGTAATTTTCAAATACTTAAAAAAATAGAAATGTATTCCCTAGGATTAAAAATAGGCTGTTTATTTAGCTGAAACAAAAGCCGATCAAATGTACCCTCGTTTTCTCTTGCAATCGAGTGCGCACGCTTCAAGAATGTTATATCAAAATTGCAAGAAAAAATCAACGGTAGATATTTTTCTGCAAATATTTTGCTGCAACTCTTATAAAGCATCTTTCTAAAATGAGAAAGGAAAATATGCAAAATATACTTACTGGAGGTGTGATGAGATGATTCAAGCCCTAAATTTTCTCCTTGACAACATTTATGTACGTTTCGGCAATAAATATTATCGGCAGGTTGTATGTATTCCTATGTACACACATTGTGCCCCTTTAATAGCAGACTTGTTCCTATATTGTTATGAATCACAGTTTGTGGCCAAACTCAATAAATAACCGTCTAAATTCCATTTAATTGATAAATTCAGCAACACTTACCGTTATCTTGATGATATTTTTTCGTTAAATAATCAAGAATTCTCTAAAAATTCTGCTGAAATTTACCCTAAGGAACTTACTTTGAATAATTCAAATATTAACAGCATTAACTGTTCATTCCTAGATTTAGATATTTCAGTATCCAGGTTCAACCCACTATTTTTTCTTAAAATGTCCTGTACCAAGTAAGGAATATGGCAGTTGTTATCAAATAGTTCGTTTCTTTGTATGTTGGCGTTTGTTTTTGTTCCACTTCAGTTTTCCTCTTATAGTTGATGTGTTTCCCTCGGTTTTAGTTTGTAACCCGGATTTGTTTTCTCTCAATTGATTTATGACTTTTGAACACCGGTATACTACTGTTGCCTTTATATACACCAGAAACTCTACACTAAAATTTACGACAAAAGGGATGATTTTTCTTTCCCTATTGTTAATTTTCCTTTTTTGGACGGGGGTGTTCCTTTGGCACCGTCTTACGGTGCTTATATATCCCAACTCGTTCGCTATGCCAGTGTCTGTAGTTACGTTTTGGATGTCAATGAGCGTAATCTATGATTTACTAGTAAATTATTCAGTCAGGGATTCCGTTACCACAAATTAGTCTTAGTTTCTTACATGGACATGATTTTTTTATTAGTTGTTACTGGCTTTGAACTAGCTGTCAGTAATTGCGAGTACTCTCAGATCTGTACTTAGTGTCTGTTTGTTCTTAGGGATGAGGGATGGATATAAACCCTGCCACGTCCTGTCTGTGTTTTTGTCTGATCAATGTTTTTCTTTGTATCGATCTGATGAGTTAAGCGTTTTTTCAACTGATTTTTATATTTTGTTCTTATGGTGTGCTGTTACACCACTGTACCAGGATAGGTGGAGCGTTGAGCGCCCACAAACATGTTTAACCCCGCCACATTCTTTATGTGCCTGTCCCAAGTTGGGAGCTGTAGTTCAGTGGTTGTCGTTGTTTCGTGTCTGTCATGTTTGTTTTTCGTTAATTGTTTGCTATAAATCAGGCCGTTAGTTTTCTCAATTGAATTGTTTCATATGTTTAATGTCAGGGCCTTTTATAGTCGACTATATATACAGTATGGGTTTTTCTCATCATTGAAGGCCGTACGATGTCTATAATTGCTTACATCCACTTCATCTGAACTTGAGTGGATAGTTGTCTCATTTGCAATCATACCACATCTTCTTATTCTTATACTAAGTAAAACATGCATTATTTAAACAGAAATGTCCCGAAAAGTTAGTAATAAAGGAATGTTTTTCATACCTATTTCAGAGACATGGTACTGCATATATGTTTTGGTCTATTTGGAGAGTGCATATCAACATTCAATTTAACTTTGCAATAACTTTCAAGACGAAAACATTTACTGTCAGATATCTTGTGATGCCCTTTTAAAAGTTGGCAAATACGACCTTTCTTTGACTGACTTGCTTGATGGCATATTAATAAAGGAATAAAAGGAAGAACTTTTTGCGGTTGGAATATATTCACTCAAGGCTTATATATTTTGTGGGTGGAAGGTGGGGGGGTCCTTAATATCTCTGTTTTTTTTTTAATTTATAGGGCATTTTTCTTTATCTTTTTAAAAGTAACGCTTATTCTTTTGAATTCTCATGAAAAGGTTTTTACTATTCGATTTTTCTGCAATATGGTGATTTTATATTTTGGTATAACAAGTAATGAGGGTGTGGATGGGGTTTAGGGAATAGAGAATAACGGGCAAAAAAAAGAGTGAAAAGAGAAAAATGGAAAAAAAACAAAGACTCGATAATTGCAAAATTTTAAGAATTAGGTAAAAATATACTATTTACAATTCCAGAATACAGTTATCTAGTAATTACAGAATAGTAGTTATCTTTAAAGATAAGGAAAAATGAGCGAAAAACTGAAGAAAACAGGAAATGGCCAAATCATATATAATATATATATATTTTAGTAGAAAAAACAAAACGCTTAATATTGTAACAGGAGGGGGTCTGTGACGACACCTCCCGGGACGTGTAGTGGCCAGTACTTCGTCCCTATTCGACCATCTGGATACCTGATATCAGATTATGGCTGAACAACAGAAAATAAATCAAATGAAACTATATTTATTCACAAATGTACAATAATTGCAAGTCGGATTAAACAGGAGTATGAAACTTTCTAAAATGAAGTTCAAAAATAATAAAAGTAATTCAAATGTAAAATGAAGTATTTCCAGAGTTAGTCTTAAGTAAAGAAAATTTGCTTCGCGTTGTGTTAAAAAAATGGAATTACAAAATTGTACTTGCACCAAAAAAGGGGTGACTAACTCTGGCGAACTGCACCGAAGTAGTGGCTAACTCTAGCCTCAAGTGGAATGATTCATTCCGGAGAGTATTTGGAGGCCTGTGCAAGGCCGACTCCGACTGACTATAAATTAAAATCCTAAACTTGTCATTAATCAGGATAACTTTAACAGAAAAGGTATGAAAGAAAAGTTGAATAAATTAATATTCTTAAAAATTCTAGAAACATCAAAGTTAAATAATAAATTGTAGAATTAACAATCCTTACTTTTATCTTACTATGCTTAAAACAAATTAAACTTAAAATAAACATTTAAATACTAAATAATTAATCTGTAGACATTAAGGGGAATTAACCTAGGCACATCTATTACATTCCTCCCCCCTTAGGACAAATATTAAAGAAATTAATATTTGGCAAAAGAAATATCAAAAAATAGATGTGCTGAAAACAATAAACAATAATATAAATCAATGCAAATAAAATGTCAATAAATGTCACAAAAATGTCATATAAGCACACGGTCCAACCATCAGAAAAGTTCCACACGGTATAAACGTCCAGGAATAGGCGGTTAAGGGCATACGATACAGTTTTGATCCCATAATGAAATTTTAATGAAAATGAGCATATAGGCTATTTTTTACCTGATTTAATCAAATATGTAATAAAAAATATACCTTCATGTGCTACTTTTTGAGTAAATTGAGGTCGAAATTTCAGATATTTGCTCAAAATTCGGATTTGTGGACGTATTTTTCCTTTCGACAGAAATTCATAACTTTTTTGTTTTAAAAGATAAACACAAGCTGTTTTTGTTAAATTATTTGTAAATTCTGTTTTATATAAATGTCCTATAAATTTGTGCATTTTATTTTTACAATTAACTCATATTTATCAAATGTTCATAAATGTAGAAAAAAACCGTCATTTTTTGCTGTATATTTATCAAATTTAAAGAAATTGCATTATTGACTTTTTCATGAAAATTGGTACTCATAATCTTCATACAATATCAAACCAAATGTCATTTTAAAAAAGAGGGGTCCATGAACTCGTTTTCAAGATAAATCAGTTTGAATGATAACAAACAGTCGAAAACTGCATCTTTTCCCGATAAGTCGCAGTTTGACGTCGTGAAAATAACAATTTACGTTAGCAACGTCATTACCTCCCCTGTAACTGTATCGTATGCCCTTAATGTCAGTAAACGGACACAGTTATATACAGCATTCAATAAAACACAGTTCTTCAAACGGAAACGGAATGTAAATAGGGTCTATCTGCGTGGTTCAAGTTGTACCAGGTAATGTCCACCAATTGTTGTACTCACGAAATCACTTTTAACGTGTGTTTTCGGGTTCTTATAAGTCCATCGTTGTACCAGGTTTAGTCCACCATTGTAGATCTCACGGAATCACTTTAAACTTGTGATTCCGAGTTCAAGATGATCAAACGTTGTAAAAAAGTAAGAAAGGTGTTCTCGATTCAAGAACGGCTTACTTTATCAGCTGTTTGTGTCACTAAAACTTAATAGATTTCTGCCATGACTTATAAAAGTTACAAAAGGAATACCATAACCAAACTAAACAAAGTTATTACAACAAAATTTGTTCAGAAAGGTTAAAAAATCCAAATAAATGAGCAAACTCATAAATAAACCTATTCAAACAAGAAACTTAGCAACAAACAAAACAAACCAACATCTAAAGAAAAAACACAATCTTATTAAAAAACCTTTTTGAGGGTGGTTTCGATTGTAAAACCGGCCCAAAAAATGTGACCAAGAAAAACAACAATTCCAATCAAAACTTTGAAACCATACCTACTAAACAATATAAACTGACAAAATAAGTAAAATACTAAATATACAAACTAAAACTCATAAAACATTCTATATCAAAACTTTAACTGCCTTATCCTTCAAACAAGAAAACTCATCCACGCTAGAAATCAAATAATCAGATAAACAGCTATGCAAATCAGATGGAAAATAAAATTTTGAACTCTTTTGACAACTTAATTTGCATGATTTTTTGACAGCCTTATTAACTGAAGAAGAAACTGGTTTTGCTGGTTCAACAACTGGTTCAACAACATGCACAGAAATGACACTTTTACAAATCTTATTGGGACAATTAGCTCTGATATGTCCAACTACTGAACAATTAAAACATTGTTTTACTTTAAACTTCCAATAAACCAGCTTTTTAAGAACTTTGACAATTTGATTAAAACCAGAC